GTAAAGTACAAGTTTCCTAAACCTATTTGAGGTAGTACTTTAAGTACAATGTACTTAAAATGCTTCCCAACACTGCTAAACTGTAGCTACTCTGCATCTTAGCTTTAGTTGCGCTAAAGTCCTGCGTGGTTTTGTGTACTGTGCTTTGTTGTCCTCGGTTAAGAACTTGTCGATCTCAAATGAGTGTTAGACACCGCAATAGCACGCGCGGAGAAAATTCTTGACGTCCCCAGTATCGTTCAGACATTGCATTGATTTCCTCGATACATTTTAATGCTCCTGAGGTTTGACTTAATATGAAGTCAAACATCAGGAACAAAAAGGCTTCATGCGCTAGGTCCGACTTCTTTTATTTTTCTTTTTGCTTTGGGTCCCACAGATCACCTTTGCCATATTTTGAATTTCTGCCCACCATAACAAGGAACAGCAATATTCCCAAGGACTGTAATAGGGTCGGACATATACCACACCTAGACATACAAATTTATTTGCTTCCATAAAGACTCTTTTATTACGCAAATAAAAATACACAAGCTTGATTAGGCTGACAAAGATAAAGGCGCACACAAAATGTCGACCGCAAACTATGGGTCACGTGACATGATGTTGTCACGTGACGTCATGACATCATGACGCCCCTATGGGCTATGGTTCCTAAGGGCTCTTTGTGTAAAACACATTTAACCTCGGGATATGACGCTGAAGTCTGACGCTGCAGGAACGGCTCTCTCGTGGATAACAAAGCGCATAAACAGATTCTGCGTTAGAAACACAATGTCTGGCGAGCGTGCCGCTGGCGTTGAGCAGAGGCCATTAGCATCGCGCCCGAGTACCGCAGCAGCGCCAGTCGCTTCGCGGTGGTCGGCGAGAGAAGCAACGAGTGCCAGCCCCCCGTGTTGCAACAACAGCTGTTGTATCGCTTTCTCTTTGCGAGCGAGGAGCGTTCATTAACCTAAACTCGGGCTGTAGTTCCCACGCCCCCCCGCGGGCCGCAGTCTTGCACGCACGCTCTTGGCGTTCAGTCACCGCGAGTGGCTTCTTGTGTAAACGCAGATCTCGCACAGCCTGGACAAGCATCGCTGCTCGTCGGGGAGAAGCATTCCTCAGTCTTTGGCTCGTAAAAGACTAGAGAGGTCATAGACGGGATGTTTCATAGCCAATGACTGAAATCATTAAGCCGGGGCCTCACTGCTCATGCATCAGAGACCATCTGCATACACTGTCTGAAATTTTGGAGGGTGTACGAGCGGTGCGACTGGGACTTTAAAAGAAATGAACACTTGAAACGAAAGAACTGATTCCTTCGGGAAACGTTATCGACCACGGCAGATGTCAGGGTACGAACTTAACCTGGCTAATTCGTAACCTAGACTCGGGGACAACTTTTTCTGGAATTTCCAAAGAACTGAAGACGACGCGAGCGCACGGGTACCCATAACGTTGGCTTTGTTGCCAAGAAATGTTGTCCCCAAGTAAACTTATTTATATTTGTGTGTGTCCTCGTGTTAGCCAACGCCCGATCAGGCCCCGCTTCGACCGCCACGAAGGAGATGAGACAACGCAAGCGGTATGAAGGATCTACTGTCTCACAGTTGGACGATCTGGAGGCGGCGCTTTGTCCTTTCACCGCTCCGTAGCCGACCGCCATCTTCCAGCTCGCCGCCCGAGCTCTGCCCCGTGCCACACTCGGCTTCCTCTCCCTTGGCCGCCGCGGGCTCATGCCCCGCCTCCTCGTGGCCACGATTACCGCATTTGCCGCTAACTTTTCAACGCCTTGGCATTGTGTACATATTACGATGATAGATTTGTTTGCCCGCCGTTCAAATATGCTACATCAGTTGTTGAGGGTGAGAAATCTCAATTATTTCATTCATAAAATCCTGGGACATTTAGCCCCTGCGATTTCTCGGAAGTATTCGGCAAAACTACCTTAAAAGGAAAATCGGATTTTAGCCGAACAACTTTATGCATTGTAATACTCCAAGAAAGAACTATTGATCGCTATAATATATATATATATATTTTAATGAGGAACTTACGAACATGTACTTTTTATTCCTAGGCCTAACATTTTTGTTTGCATTTGGTCCCACGAAACACTTTTGAAAAACCAGTTTTGCCCGTCATAATAAAGGATCATAATATTACCGAGGTTCGTGATTGCATGAGAGCGCATATCAAAATTAAAAGTTTACAACATGCATAAATATACATTGCTATTAGGGTACTTCTCCAGGAATATATTGTATTGACCCTGTAAAGCTGTCATTTCTGTATACAGCGAAGCACTGAGGCAAAACAGTCTTTACGAACGCGCATGATCACATGATCGATTGTATGAGGTTTGTAGCATCATCAACATTTCGACACCGAGTGGGTTCTCGCAAAAAGGAAAAAAAAAGTGTAATGTGTAAAGGTTATACGTGTAACACCTTCATGTTTTTTTTTTTCGGTCAAATTGAGAGCCCGTTCGCACATTTATTTCTAGAATAGTTTCCAGGTTCATTCCGTAGTCAGCCGGCACGCTCGCAGTTTGCGCAGTTAGCAAAACGGGGCTGTCTAGGGCTATCTCGCAGCGGTGAACAAGAAAGAAATGGTTGCCAGGGGTGTTGAAGTACGGTGCTTAAAGGTGCGACTAGTATTCGTAGCAGAAACAACTTATGTGAGCGAACAGGACCTTAGAGTAAAAAGGGAGATTTTTTCGATGCAAATTTTCCTCGTCCCAGACTCGAAGCACGCAAAGTAGGCCAGGGTAAACCTAACAACGAGGCTGAGCATTACGGCAAAGTTCCATTCATTCACGTTTCTAGAACTCCAGTAAAAAAAAAAAAAAAAAAAAAAGTTAATGCGGACGTACGCATTTAGATTCCGCGCGTGAACCGTGTCTCAAGCAGCATATGATTCTAAATACATCATCAAAACGTTCTTAGTTAACGGCCAGCACTAAACTTCGTCGTTTGTCACATTTGCGAGCTTCCACCTCCTGAATACATCTTAAATTCTTCCTTCTTATTCGCCCACAATAGTAACGTTTCTCACGCTGAGTGAATAGGGCGAGGACTCGTGACCTACACACGTATCGTATTTGGTAGAAGTACATTAAAATATATGCCTAACTGGCGCAAGCCAACGGATACTGTCGACCAACACACTGTTCAGAAGCAATCCCGCGTTTGCCCACACCGGGTGTGGTGGGCATTGCGCATGCGCGGAAGCCCGATTCGCGTCAGACGAAGCATCTGCGCGTGCACAAAGCCGACAGCAGCGCCACCGCAGTGGTGTGGCCTCAGAGAGTTGAGTTGGTCTATACACGTTTGCAGGTCCGGTCTCAGGGCACTGCCATCTTGCTTAGCTGGGGTGCGCTTGGACGCGTCATATCCGATTACGAAGCCTCGCTAAGGCGTCGAAATCGGATTATGGCCGCGCCCAAGCGCAACCCAGCGAGCAAGATGGCGGCGCCCTGATGCCGGACTTGCAAACGTGTATACTCCTGAAAATTAAGACAAAAAAGTTAAGCTCATCTGGAAGACACGCAAATACAGATACGCAGACTAAAGCCTGATTCAGATGGTGCATTTTTACTTGCGGTTTTGCATTTACGGCGTTGCTTGAGCGGTAAAAAAAGCACGGTGGAATCTGCGGTGCCCGAAGTCGCATTTGCGAAATTGCAAGCAAAATCGCATTATATGAATTGGGTTTTAAACGGCAATGTCAGGGCGCGCTTTCTGCGTTTGGTTGGACTAGAAGGCAATCGCACACCCACACAAGAGGTGACAAACGCAGTGACGCTGCAATTTCGGTGATTTTTGATTGGATCCATCGGTTACTATGCGTCGGCTTCGCTCTGACGTATGATGGAACCAACTATAATACCTGCTGGGGATGAATGAATGGATAGATGGATGGATGGATGGATGGATGGATGGATGGATGGATGGCGCCGAGCTAAAGAGCGCCATCCTTCGGCGATAGAGAGCACTAAAAGAGGACGGCGTCGGCGCGCATTTTTGCAAACTCGCCCGACAGATCATCCGCGGCGCGCCACCACATGGTCCAAATCCGACAGCGGAGTGACAGGCAGCCCACCCCGTCTGTCCCCCGCACCCCCAAAAACAAGCTGAGTTTAGGAAAGAGAAGAAGCAACCCTGGTCCTTAACCTTCCATCCCTCTCCGCAACCCCCGAGCACAAGAAGCCACGCACACTATACACTCCGGTTCACCTTACGATGGACCACAGCAGACGCTACGGGTCATCCGAGCCAATCCAGCTCTGTGAACCTGTCACGTGACTACGCGCTCCTCCGGGCCGCTTCGGCACTTCCGAAAGTCACCTGAAAGTCACGCGGCATTGGATTGGCTCCAATTGGCTCGTAGCGGCCGCTGTGCTCATTTGTAAAATGAAATGGAGTGTACCCTCCGCCTTTTTGCTTTGAACAACGTGCATTCCCTGCGCAGCCGGACAACGAGAGGCGTGTTCTCTCCGTAAAACACACAAAGGGCCGTAAAAGATCGGAGGAGTTTCCCACGATACGGAAACGGTCGGTGCTTCAGTTGACGCGAGTGAGAGACACCGTCGGCTGCCAACGTAGGTGGGCGCGAATGCCAGATGACACAGGGTTGTTAGACACCGCCATTTGCGTTCGCCACCTCGCGAAAATAAAAACAAATAATGTCGCGAAAAGGAAACTAGATGCGGTAACATTCACATGAAGCCCATTTGCTCATAACTCTACAGAGTTAAAATTTTTAAAGAAATATGAAGAGCAAATCTGTTTGATGTGAGATTGCTTGCGACGGCCATGTGTTCCCTAGCGTTTCTTTTTAATTGGCCTCCTAATTAGCTTGTTCACATCGACGACACAAGCTCCTTTTATTCTTGAAGACGTTTTTTAAATGCCGTTAAACTCTCCTGAATATTTTTTTTTTTTTATATACAAGGGGTAATGGAACCTTGTACCCTTGTAATCAAGCTGGGTTCTTTAGTGAAATATTACTCTGCAATGACTTATGCACGAACAGCATACCCAAAGCCAGATATTTTAGTTTGGGCTGGAAAAGCAGTGCGTAAAGTCATAACGCACTTCCTATTACGTTTTACTCGAACAGCACATACCGTCACAGGAGGACCGATAAGCGTTGTCGTGCTGACAGGCGCATTCCGCATATCAATAAGAAAGAAGGTAAGAAAGAAGGTAAGAAAATTTAATAACTTTCTTACAAAGATGGTACGTATGAGTTGCTCATGTGGCTTCCCTCTCCCCTTTTCGTCTCGTATAGACCCCTTGTCCAGTTATATGAAACCCCCGTTGGAGAGAAACAGATTGCTTCCCTGTAGAGGTTGTTTTTACGATTTGTGTGGTATCACAAACCAAGTTACGATGTCTCCACTTAGCTGAAAGTAAGCTAAATTCTACAGTAGTATGGTATATAAAAAGCGCACAAATGTCGAGGACAAATAGAAAACACGCACAACAAAGAAGCGCTTACTCGACACCGATGGTTCGTTAAAACTTTCTTACGTGTTGTGTACGCAGTCGTCATGTACGTTTCTATTATTTTGTGCCCCACTTTTGTGCGCTTTTCACGCTTACTTCAAACTCATACCAAGTCGCCCAATTTCCTGACCTTCCATACTTTCATCTGCGAGCTTAATGATGGGACCAATTCAATAAAATGCAACCTAGTATTCACTGTCTATTATCTGCCCCTCCAACCCTTCACCCCCTTCACTTTTACCGGCAATTACCGAATGTGTATCGACTTCCGGATAATATCTGACTCGCCCCTGACTCCGGTCTTATTTGTAGCATATTGACAATTTTCGATGGAACCATAGGGCTCGAATTCTTCCATTCGCCCCCCCCCCCCCCTCCCCAAACACACACACAAATAATAAAATAAATATACATGGTACACAGCGGAAGCGCGTGAGTCTATAGATAGAAACATAGCGCGCATGCAGTGTGTACATGTACTGCTCGTCCCTGCAGACGCAGGAAGAAACCGAAGGCGGGCTCCTCTCAAGAGCGGGTGGTCCTCTCGGAGGACGATGCCTCTGATGACGCGGGGCGGAGGAGGAAGCGAAGAGTGTGACCCCTGCGTGCTGGAATGAAGATCCTCGTGCGGATGCTGGCTGGGTGCGTGCGAGTAATACCACCCGCAAGACAAGGCCTGCAACTCTCGTCCCCCCAAACGTCATCACTAGTGGGTCCACGCAGCGCCGCCTAGCTATAGCGTCAGCATCGCCGTCAGCGCGTCGTGTATAGCGTCTCACGGATCCACTAACGATGGCGTCGTGAGCAGGCCTCGTCTTCTAGCCGGTGTTGATGCGAGGCGCTGCTGCTGGGAATGACGCGTCTTCCCCCGGGGCTCTCAATTGTAGAGCGTCTGCCGAGGGTCTGGGAGAGACGCGTGGCGGTGCGGGAGACTTCGCTAACCGGACGAGCAAAGCCGTCGCGTTTCCTTTTACCCTTCTCTTAGTTTTCCTCGTGGTTATCGTGACCATGAAGAGAAAGGGCAAAGGCGTCTGCGGTGGGGCAAGTGGTTATCACAGGAAACAGGAGTTTGAAGCCTGCTCGCTTCATACATGTTTCGAAGGGTTGGGCAGTATAGCGATTCAAATGTATCGCGATGACACTGTAGAAATACTTTTTTTTTATCTGTACCTCTGTATCGCGATTCAATTTTTCAATGAGTACCTACATTTCAGTATGAAAATGCATTTTTTGTGCATTCCTTGTATCGCGGTACAATCGCTGGCCAATGTTTCTCGTTAGAATGTTCTAGAAATCAGTGACCCCCAAAGGAAAGCTCAAGAGACTGGTTGCTTTATATTTTCGTGCTTCAGAGGGTAGAAGGTACTGTAAATGGGACCTTGAGACTTTGTTATCAAGCAGACCAAGGTTTGTTTCTAACATTAAAGCACCGACATTTGGTGACTCCCTTCCCTATTTTCCAAAGATAACGTATGTCTTCCGGGTGTGCTTCAGTCGGGTAACTATTTATGGCGAATCAAAACGTTGAAGGCACTGGAGGTACGAGCTACGTAACTGTACATTGCACTCCAAGCCCCATCCACTGGGGCGAGCGTAAACTTCATTCCCTCCGATCATCAAAGAACATATTTTCATTCAACGGCGACGTTTTGAAGTGACTGCAGAAAAGGTACCGACATGGAACTAGAAGATGTTGACGTTTCTTGGATATTTGATAGATATACAACGAATTTAGAGGTTCATGTAATATTGCTTCGAAGGCGTGCAATATATCTAATGGAGAAGTGCGCTACATTCTGGATGGAAAGTATGTCAAACTTTTTGAAAACCCGCTAAGTTTTCACAGCTTTATATTAAAAGGAAATTGTCAATGCTATGCGAAACGAATTTCAAACTTGAGATCGTCCAAGTTCAACTTAAATCTTTACCTCACGGTTAGTATGAGCTTTTATTTTCACTGGAGGACATTTTTTTTTCGCCTTAAAGGTACAAACCCTGTTAACGAAGCATACCTCTTACCAAGTGCTGATTGTTAGGCAAATTGGTATGGTACGTTAGAAAACATGATTGCGCTTTGAAGACGGGGACATAGGAAGGACAGACACCACAGAGTGCTAACTTTCAACTGATTTAATTCAAGAACCTCAGCGTAGAAACACACTGCGTCACCGCAGTGTGTTTCTACGCTGGCGTACTTGCGGTCCGTCGCAAGGCCACGGATTGGTTGAGATGTGGTGCGGTGACGCAGTGTGTTTCTACGCTGAGGTTCTTGAATTAAATCAGTCGGAAGTTAGCGCTCTGTGGTGTCTGTCCTTCCTATGTCCGCGTCTTCAAAGCGCAATCATGTTTTCTAACCTACCTATTACCGCCTCCAAGCGAGGTCTTTATATACATAAAAAAAAACGAGAAAAAATATTTGCATGGTTTAAAACTTTCCTATTCTGAAAGCGGTCTACGTTTGTTTTGATATGAACCCGTGTTCGTTGACAATTTTGGAACGCTTAATCTCGTTTGCTAACATGATGCTTTCCCCAAATCGGCAACGGCTGACCGACAAGCTATTTGAGAAGCCACTTCTCATCAAATGTCGTCGAACGTAGAAGCAAGGTCGTATGTTTAGTTTTGTTTTGTATTGCTTTCGTAACAAAAGATAAAATATGTAGCAAAAACTTCTTTAATTTCGCTTTTACAAGTAGTACTTTTTTTTTGCTGGTAATGGAAGAGTTTACATCACAAAAATCTCTCTAAAGACAAACATATGTGAGTATTACTGCCCCGGCAAACTGTATACCTGCCTTTGTATTTCCAAATACTTTTCTATTTTTCAAATTCATTTCTGACATGTATCGCGATACTTTTGTACGGATGTATTTCATAATCAGTATTGTAGCTGTTTTCATCATGTACCCCAGCATTTAAATTTCCAACACACATTTTAGAATATCTCTGTCCAACGCCCTCGAACGAATCTGCAGACTGTTTTTGTACGACCAGTGAGACGGAACCGTGATTAAAGAAAGCGACACGCCTTGGAAACTGTCCGCAAACTATCTTTTGTGAAATGTATTAACCGCCTTACTGCGGCTCTAGTGGAATTATAGGTCGATGCGACGCAATTCGATTCGATAGGCCCATTCTGGGTCGCCGTCATCAGACGTTACGAATGACTCGATCAGGCCGAATTCTACATTTATTTTTAAGGAACATTCTTTTGTTTTCGATATTATAAATTTAACCATACACAATTTTTCTTGACTCTCGACCAACCGAATTTGGTCCACACCCGTACCGCCAACATAATTAAACAGGATCTAGGTTATACTACACTATCCGCGCCTAATTTCGCACAACTTTGGCAAGCCCGAACAGTTCCCGACACGCTTAAACGAACCTAACTATAACGGACTCAAACAACCAACTCATCAACCTGACCCACGACACTAGTCAACCCGACTCTACCCGACCCGACCCGATGCGACTCGCACTGTCAGATCACATAGCGGATGCAATCGGAACCAGCCCACACAGTTTCCGACAAAACTCCCCAAAACTTATCCCCCTTAATTGAACCGGGCTAAAACTGACCCAAACAACCAACGCATCATACCGACCCGACCCGACCCGACCCGACCCGACCCGACCCGACCCGACCCGACCCGACCCGACCCGTCCCGTCCCGTCCCGTCCCGTCCCGTCCCGACCCGTCCCGACCCGTCCCGACCCGACTCGACTCGGCCCGGCCCGACCCGACCCGACCCGACACTATCCGATCCGATCCGACTCGAGCTTAGTCAGACCACGACCGTCTTTACCCGATTGCACTAAATATGACACAACGACACGAAAAGATCCCTGTCACCGCTTGTGGCTCAATTTGCGAGCAAAAGTGACCAGCCTCGGTTTGACAGTCGGTAATCCCATTGGCATCGGCGGTGCTTTCACGGAATCTCGTTGCCTGATGTCCCGTCGTGAGCCGGCTAGATGGAGCACTTTTCCCCGCCGAGCCAGACACGACAGACTGGCGCCACTATGTCCAGCCGGTCGGCCACCAACTGCTGCGAGTTGATGCCCTTTCTGTACGGCGGCAAGAGCAAGAGAATGCTCGCCGTAGCCTCGATCAATTCGCCGCTTCCTCGTGCGCTTTGGTAGTTTTTTGTTTTTTTTTCGTCTCCACGTTTGTCTTGTCCGGGAGCCTTCTGGTTACTTTGGCTAACGTGTCTTGACCACAGTCTTGCTCCTTTCGAGGCGAGAGCGCCGACAACACATTGACGCGGTCGCTGTGTCTGTTGGTACGACGTCTGCACACGCTGGGGATCCTTGTTTCTTTGGCCGTTACCACTTGCGAGATTCGCGCAGCAGGAAGTTGTGACCAGGAAGCGCCTCTGTCTGAAGATGCGGCGGCGCCTGAGCTTTCTGCTTCTTTCTTAAAATAGAGTTATATACCTTGCGAAGTCTCCTCGCGTAACGCTTATGATGTGCAGGTGTGGGGAGTTAAATCGTCGCCACGGTAATGGGACGCTAAATAAGTGCCTAGGATGAAATTTCATCAAAATGCATTTTTCTTTGTTTGTTTCTACGTACAGTGAGGCCGTTTGGAATATATATTTATATTTATATCGGATGCACATGTGTTTTTCCGTATTTGTATTTCCACCCGACTGTTTAACTACACTGTGAATCTAAATCTACCATACTTACACTTTTACTACTTTCGAGCTTTGAAGTTTTATGAAATAAATGTAATAGCTCAGGGTAGCTGGTGAACGGTCATACTTATAAAACCACGAGACAAAGAAAAAAAAAAGAAAGAAAAGGGACAACACAACGACGTCTCAAGCTTGAGACGTAGTTGTGTTGTCCCTTTTCCTTTTTCTTTGCTTCCCCCTCGTCTCTGGCTTTTATAAGTCTGACTTGTTACCCGGTAAACACGCGGACAAAGCCCTGTCAATCACCGTGACAAATTCGCGAACAAAAACAATAGAAAAATGTTCGAGGTTGTGCTTAGGTTGGCAAATGCATACGTAACGAAATTATTTGATTAATTTTAACGTACCGTAACTTATGTTCTTGAGGCAGTGCAAGACTGTTGAGCTCGCATTATTCTAGGGAGTTATCGTTGCACCGCAAGTTTAACTTCTGTGAAAATCAACATATCCCTGCCTATATTTTCTGCTTCCACCATAAAACGGGTCGCCTATGTCCTTTCCACAATACATATAATACGCTCCTCTGTACATACCAACGACTTTTCATTTCGCCGTTCCATATTTTTCTACGCATGAACTATCAGTACAAGATGGCTATACCTTCATGTAAAACCGTTGCATTTTACCAGTCAGTCGCTCGAAAAAATTCTCCAGAAGGGAACTATACCTTTCGGCTTCTGTCATCGTTAATGATCCATTGTTCAAAAACAATGGCAGAGGAGCGATAGCGCAGGAGCTATTAACATCGTTTAGTGTTTTGAGACGCAAAGAGTAAAGTGTATTACTATCTTTCGTTTCTTTCCTGTTACCTTTCGTTGTATTCTTTCCTCTCTATGATGCCGAGTGTTATGGGAGTATCTGAATAAACAAAAACATATCCGCAAATTACACAATATTACATCTAGAGAGACACAGATCGATCAGGCCGTTTGTATC